CCCCTGACGTACGTTGCCTGCAGTTGTGGCACTGCCATGTGGGCCTGTTTTTCAATGAGCCCACCTGTCACTGATGGAACGGCACCCTGCCGAACGGCAGAGGAGCCTCGTCCGAAAAACCCCACACCAGAAGTCTGACCCCCAGAAAATCCCCAAATCTTCGCCGTCTCAGCTTCCGAATCGCCGGCGAGGAGGAAGGGAGCGGCGATGGCGGGGACCATCTCCCGCATCCGGCTGGAGAACTTCATGTGCCACTCCAGCTTGCACATCGAGCTCGGCGAGCACGTCAACTTCATCACCGGGCAGAACGGCAGTACGCTTCCACCCAAACCCTAGCTCCCCCCTCCCCCTCCCCGCGCCCCTTCTCTCTCTCTCTCTCACCCATCGATTCGCCTTTTCTTCTTCCTGCTGGCGCAGGCGGAAAGAGCGCGATCTTGACGGCTCTGTGTATCGCCTTCGGCTGCCGCGCCAAGAACACGCAGCGGGCCGCCACCATTAAAGATTTCATCAAGACTGGCTGCAGGTAGCGTTCGCCTTCTGTACCCACTAGTATCTTTTATTTTGTCATCTAAATCACTAATAATCCCGAGTCAGTATCGGAAAAAAATTTAGATTTTATCGCGAGGATAGTTGTTGGTTGCGAATAGCTGCTGTGTGGTTCAGATTGTTATGATGATTGCTGCATTTCTGTAGATGGGTTTCCGGATACGGTTTTTGCCCACCATGTAGGAATATTGAAGGTTACACAATCTCTTCGGTTGGGCCTAATCCCTGTCGATCCTAACAAGTTGGCGAGGTGTCGGGACCGCGCGATTACAGTGAAAGCAGTGCTATGCTGCTAGCACTTGGCCAATTTTTATTATACGAAAACATTTATTAAACATTTGAACAGCATGCGTTGCAGTAACACACACACACACACACACACACACCAAGAGTTACCTGTCTGAGCCTTGTCCATACCCTTGCCGTTGCACATGACACTAGTCACTAACATTCTTCAAAGCTGTATTACCTGAAAAATCTGCTGCAGTCATTTTTAGGCAATGTTGCAGCTGTATGGTTCAGAGAAAAGAATAGAGATCACATGATTTATCAAAAAACTTATACACTGGTCTGGTTTTATTGCATTAATTGATGTATTTTTCAAACAGGGCACCAACTGTCGCACATCACACTGTTAATATTAATATTACTCCCTCCGATACCATATTACTTGTCGCTCAAACAGCTGGTTCTAGCACTGAAATACGTGTAGATACATCCGTTTTAGCGGAAACTAATATGGATCGGAGGGAGTAATAGAGTAAATTGCACTTTGCACCAGGCAGGTTGCCACTTCTTTCACTTTGCAGCAGGTCAGACGGAATTTTTAACTGTGCACCAGATATAACACGATAATATTGTAGTTTGCACTAGGTCGGTAGGTCCCATACAAACACTTGTTTGAAAAGATCCATAAAGAATTATACATGTTATGGTGTGAAATATATGCCTATAGTTCTACTTAGAAAGACATCATTTGGGTTGAAAATTCATACATGTTCGGGTAATCCAGACATCATTGTTTTTTCATGGGTCATACAGTATTTTTCTAACAATGATCTGTAGGCATGTATTTTGTTCTATAATAAACATGTAGCATAATAACTTAGTTTAGCTTGAAGATTTTTCTGTAAAAATTCAACAGAGGCTGCCTATTAAAAGCAGACAGTCTCTGGGGTTAGATCTTTGCAAATTGGTGAAATAGCGGCTGAACCTGCTGGTTCACCGACTGCCCTTGGCTGAATAAAATAATGTTAATCATTCCAAATGGTCAACCACCAGTTGGGCGATTGAACATTAAATCAGAAGGTTGTCAGGGTGCCCTGCTTTAGTAGCTATGGTCCTGCGTATGATTGTGGAATTGATGACTGCATCAATCATGATACAATGTTTCTACTGTACAATCTGTGGTTAATGGTTTTGCATTTATCCTCTGACTGTTTTATCTCTCTTTCGTGTGATCGATTTTAATATAGTTTATTTTGTTAAATTTAAATCGCAGTTATGCAGCAATTGCTGTTGACATCAACAACCAAGGGGAAGACTCGTTCAAGCCTGATGTATACGGAAACTTAATTAAACTGGAACGCAGGATTACTGAGTCATCAAGTTCTACGATTTTAAAGGATCAACATGGTACTCATACTTGATCCATCCTCCTCCCAGTTGTTGGTTGTGCCCGTCTATTATGAACACTTCATGTGTAAAGTTGTTTAGATTCTGTTTTAGCTGTCAAATTTAGTACTTTAGGTTTCTGTTCTCACTTTGCTAACTTGTACTCCCTCCGTTCCATATTAGTTGTCGCTCAAACTTATGTATCTAGCTTTGAAAAATGTCTAGATACATCCGTTTCAGCGACAACTAATATGGAACGGAGAAAGTATTATTTTAATATTTTTTCTGTGACCTTACCAGAGTTCTCAGTTTTTATTTGTATTTTTCTATTCAAAGATGACACATTTCTGAACTTATGATTGTTGCATTTCTCCATTCGTTCTCCATTCTTGTGTGTTGGCTGCATATCTTTGTTCTGTTTAGTGGTTATCTCAAGTTTTAATTTAGCTGTCACATCTTTCCTATCCTTAGTTCTCTCAACTTTCCATGTTGGCAAACGACACACATGTTGCTTGTGCTTGACTTCTTACTGTACATGTTTGCATGGCTGCAGAAAGTGTGCTTTTTCACTTATAATTAGACTCGGATAATCTTTATCTTTACCAGGTATTTACATGTTGCATCCATTTCCATACATTGTTAAATGCTACTACCTCTGTTTATAAATGTATAAGAGACATTTTGGCAGTTTAAATGGAACTGCCAAAATGTCTTATATTTGGGAACAGGGGGAGTAGTTAGGCATGGAAATAAACACTGGTAGCACTTAATTTCATTCTTTCCAGGAAAAAAAACACTTAATCTCAGTTGAGCTCACCTACAGATGGTGCTACCACAAAAGACTTCTGCATGGTCCAAATTGCATCATGCACATCTGATTGCTGTTAGATCAGAGTCCTTGCGTAAATTGAAAGTGACAGTAAATTCTGAACTGGTTAAATAGATGGTTGTTGTGAATTTACCAAATTGATCAAGTGGATGATTGCTATAAATTTACTAAAACCAAGTTGTACTAAAGGTACGATAAGTAATATGGGTCGGAGATTATGTTAATTAATTAACTACAGTAGCTATTCTTGTATTTTTATTTACTAACTGCACAATATTTTTACCATGCTATACTATACTGCGCCTATTGTGATCATATGTGCTGGAACAGGTAGGAAGGTGGCAAATCGCAAAGATGATCTTAATGAGATAATTGAACATTTTAATGTAAGTTGCTTGTTTGCTGATGAATACTAATTTTTATGTAGTGGTTTCACTCATCCAGTTGTTTGTTTTACTGTTTTCTTTCTGTATTGGGTCAGTTATGAAAAAAAGGTGTAGAAACTGACGGACCCTTCATCTACTTCTCCTCGCTGCACCTTTGCGTGTCTTTATATAAATAAATAAATGTATGTAAGGATAAGATATATTAAAACAACTGCAAGAAGACACCATGCTCTCTTCCTCTCTGGCTTTCTCGCTCGCTCCGCCGCGATTGCGCTATTGGTCAGCTTCACAATCACATATCCCCCCCCCCCTCCTGTCTACTCGCTCTCCTTGTTTTCTCTCTACTCAAGACATGCATGAAGAAATTTCATTGGGATGCGCACATACATGCTAATTGTTTTGTTTTTGTCTTATCACTGTAAGGCCTCCTTTGGTTCATAGGCTAGGAATAATATACAACAACAACAAAGCCTTTAGTCTCAAACAAGTTGGGGTAGGCTAGAGCTGAAACCCATAAGATCTCGCAACCAACTCATGGTTCTGGCACGGGATAGGAATAACATAGGAATAGGAAAATCATAGGAAGTGGGATGGCATGTATATCAATTCATGGAGGGAAAGAGATGTCATTTGATGCATAGGATAGGAATTTTTTCATTGAGTCTATGCTAATGTTTCTTTTCCTTTGAAATGTCAAGGATTTATTCCTATCCTACATAGAAATAGGAATCCATTCCTACAAACCAAAGGGCTCCAAAGGAATTTTACTATAAGATTCCTATCCTTTAGAATTCCTCTGAAATTCCTGTAAACCAAAGGAGGCCTAAGTATATTCATGGGCTAATAACTCATCCTGTACCCATGTTCTCTCCTATTAGTAACCCAGCTAATTCAACATGCATGCACATTCTAAAATATGACAAACTCACTAACCAGTATAAACTTTACAAAATAGATGTTAGCATGCTTGTGCTATATTTATGAGAGGGGACGGAGATATGTTACTCGCTATGGGGAAGAATTGGGAAAGGGGTTGATCCAAGCTCTTTGCACAAGTATGGGTTTAAGAACTGAAAAGAAAGGGATAAAAGTAGAGACCATGTGAAAGAGAAAGTAAAGCCTGTGCTTTACGTGCCTCTGCAGAGCGAGCAGATGTGTGTCACCATCACCTCAAGGAACTTCAAAGCGAGCGGGAGCTCCTTCCTTTGCCTTTGCCATTGGCCTCACCATGTCCGCTTTTTGCCCCTAGCCCATGCTGCCAGATCTGTCAGTAGCACATGGCATGTCAACCAATGGGAAAGGATAGAGTGACACAGTTCAGTTAGTGCACTACGCCTGCCTATGTACAAGAGCTTGTTGAATCGTCAAGCAGGTCTTCATATGCGCAGAGCTTACTGAATTACTCCCTCCGTCCGAAAATACTTGTCATCAAAATGAATAAAAAGAGATGTATCTAGAATTAAAATACATCTAGATACATCCCCCTTTATCCATTCTGATGACAAGTATTTTCGGACGGAGGGAGTATCAATCAAGCCGTCGTGTACGGAGCTTACAGAGCTGTCAAGCAGGGCTTTGTGTGCACAAGTGCGCAATCATAGTAGCACTTCACCTAATTCCCTCGTGCACCTTGGTCTGTCATCTTCGCTAATAATACCTTATGAGGACCAACCCTCAAAGCAAGGAACTTGTCTGTTGTCGTGGCCCGGCTTTCACGTTACTTCCTCCGCCTTGTATCTGGCGTCTTGCCCACACACACGTAGACAAAGAGAATTTGAACCTTCCGATTCAGCACACAGGAACCAGTCTAAAAGGCAGCAACTCATGCAGCAAAGCAAGTGATTTGGACAAGCTTACCCCAAAATTTGGTAACTGGTATCTACCCTGAAACACACATCGTGGTCTTATTCAGAACATAATTGCATTTTACTAACCGCATGGCATGCCTTTATAGTAGCAAGCGACTCCCTAACTTGACCCACAAGAAAATAAAGAACAGAGCTCTAATTTCATGTCTTGGCTAAACAAGGAAAGTAAAACAGGAATTCGTTGTCTCTTTTTTTGTTTTTTGCACCTTCTTGCACTGGCAAGTTTCTTCGGTGGAAAAAACAAAATCCCGAATTTCAGCCTTTTCTGGTTCTCTTCTCTTCAAGCCGATATATTTTCTATAACAAACTGAATTGCATCCAAAACATGCACAATAAGGGATCTGGTCTTGGTGGCCATGATCGATGGCTACTTCCATCTAACGTAGCATGGGTCCAATTTGGAAACCTTTAACGTGATGCCTCCTCTTGATATTATTTAGCTGCTACTAGAAATCTACTTTGGATGATTCCTCTGAACCAAATTAACCTCCTGAAGAGCAACATGTCTATACATAGCAGCAGTTAACTCGTCTTCATCATCGTAAGATAGGCGCAAGAACCTTGGGAGTGTAAGCAATTGGTGCATCAGTAGTTTTTACGATAAACTTTGCCGTGTCGATACCTGGAGTTGGATTTGACTAGGATTTCACCGCCGTGTATCAGCATTATTCTACCATTCATGATATGGACCTGAAACCGTTATTTATACCTTTCTGTGGAAGTACCTTGAGTCCTTGATTGAATGTCATGGATGTTTTATGTTTCTACATCCTGATCCATGTGCAACTTTTTAGATCGATGTTGAAAATCCTTGTGTAATTATGAGTCAAGACAAAAGTAGAGAATTCCTGCACTCAGGAAACGACAAGGATAAGTTTAAGGTAATCATCAGTTCTTTCAGTTTCCTGCCGATACAGCTGTATCAATATGTGTGCTTTACCTAGTTTTATTTTATGTGTTGGAGCATCTATGGTTTTATGGACTTGAATGGAATTGTATAGTCATACTCTGCAGGTCCCATGGTATTTAGTCACTTCTAGATGTATTCAGTTGTCTTGTGAAGCACGCCTTCTGTTAGTCAGTTGTATAATACTGTGGTTGCATGTTTATTTGCGTCCCAGCGGATGGTTTCCAGTTTTTCATATAACTAATTACTCCCTCTGGTCCATATTAGTTGTCGCTCAAACAGATGTATCTAGCACTAAAATACGTTTAGATACATCCACTTGAGCAACAAGTAATACAGATCGGAGAGAGTAGCATTTTTTAGACTCCAAGAGCATGATTTGATGAGAACATGGCACTCAATGTATTTAATAGCAGGCAATATGTCTTTTGGTAGCTTATGACTTCCTATGACCCTTGAGCTGAAGTGCTATATAATGCAGTGATGCTGTTGATTTGATCTCATAATTCTGCCTTGTACCTGTTCTTGCTATATCACTTCCTCTGTTATAACTCTGAGCACTGCTCTTGTTCTTATACTGTCCATACATTATGTCTTGTTGCAGTTCTTTTTCAAGGCTACTCTTCTTCAACAAGTCAATGAGTTACTGGAGACAATAAGAGATCAGCTGAACAATGCAGACTCTGTTGTTCAAGAGTTGGAGAAGTCAATTAAGCCAGTGATGAGAGAACTTGATGAATTACGAGAGAAGATAAAGAATATGGAACACATAGAAGAGATAGCACATGATATCGATAATTTGAAGAAAAAGTTAGCCTGGTCATGGGTTTATGAAGTCGACCAGCAAATTGAGGAACAGACAGTGAGACTCCAGAAACTCAAAGAACGAATTCCTGCATGCCAAGAAAGAATTGACCGAAATACAGTAAGTTATGACCTTTTTGACTGGAAACTCCATTGTGCTATTGTATCCTCTGAGCACCAATATGGTTTTCAGTGTAATTATTTTTGTAACAACAACAACAAAATCAACAACTGATCCTTTAGTCCCAACACTATTGTATTTTTTTTTGTAACACAAAACATAAATCATTGCAACCCATTAGACAGATAACCCTCCATCCTTGTAAAAACGTTATAGAATAATTCCACCACACTAACAATTTAATTCATGTCAGGAAGAAATCGTTGTTTCTTGGTAGTATTCTGCCAAATTCCTTTGAAAATGTATTAGCTATTCCATTTGCATTGGTCAGTATTCTAGTTCAAATTTGAACTAAAACCATGTCACTTATTTTGGGACGGAGGGATTATCTTAATACAGTTCAAAATGGTCTCAAAGAATTTCTTGACATATATATGTTGAATTTCCATGTGTTTGGCTTGTCTAACTTTATGCAAGCTTGCTTATGATCATTTACTGAATTATATCTTTGCATCTTTTAGGTCGTTATAGATGACCTGAAGAAAGAGCTTACTGAAAAGGAAGAACTTGTAAGATCTTTAGGCGATAAGACTCATGAAGTGAACAGCATGAAGAAAAGTATGGAAGATAACATTGCTGAGGTATCTGAGTAGTTGATGTAGCATCCTTTATGTTCAGGGAAATTTAATCATATTTGAACCAAAAGTTGTAGAGCCACGTGCAGCTCTCTTGTCTTTGAACATGGAAATGAAGAAGTGATAGTCATGATACATGTAGGCAAATTATGACCGTCAAGGCATCAATTGTTAGCAATCCTTCTGGTTGTCACATCTTTTTGTCTACAGTGCTTATCAGGCCTATAAGTTATTATCTCAAGTTCTGTTGCTGGTTATTCGCGCAGAACTAAATCTGCAATAATTTCTGGCTTAATGATATGTTCATTTTGGCTGTATCGAAATACTGCCACAAATGAGGTGCTAGGATTCCTATTGGTGTCAGCTTAATTTTGCCTAGTATTAATTCAATTTGAAATATAAGGATTACATGTTTGGTAATCTTGTTTGAAAATATTGCATGTAATTTTTTTCTTATTTTCTCCTCATTTCTGAGCAAATACCCACACTATCTGATCCCTTATTCTCAAGACATCAACATCATGGACATCTATCTGCTACGGACATGATTGTAGAATGACTTCTACTTGTCTTTCTTAACAATTGTCATGTTCCTTTTGTTCACAGGTTGTGAAGTTGAAGATTGAACTAGAGGCAGAGCATGAGCGTGGGACACGTACGCTGGAGAAAATGAATGGCCGGTTGAAACAAATGCAGGCACAACTCCGTGATTTCCAAATGCAGCATATGCAATTTACTCAAGTAAGGCCTCGTTCGCTTCAAAGGATTCTAAACCATATGAAAAATTAAAAGCGTAGGAACAGGGAAGCCTTGTAGGTACAATACGGAGGAACTGAAATTAGAGGAAAGAAACAGTGGTTGCGCGTTCTGAACGCCGGATGGATAAACAGAGAGCTGCAGCAGTCGTACCAGTCCTAACCACACATTAGCAGAGCTGTGCTGATTTTTAATTCGCATGCTAGCCATTCTTCTCTCACACATGGACCCACACTGCATATTTTATTCAGCTTATCAGTGGGCAGCCTCGGGCTTCCGCCAAAAAAAGAGATCAGGGTAGATGTGTCGATTCCTATGGAATTGACACTGTTAGCAATCCTTTCCTACGGTATACTGTAGCGAATTCCTTTGTAATGAACACAGCAAAGGGAAAAGAAACCATGGAATCCATAATTCCTTTGAAATGTCTAGAAATCCTGTAAAGCGAACGGGGCCTAAGCTGTTCTCTCCCATAGAAATAATTCCACCATACAAGTACGTAGTAGATAGTGTTACAATAGATTTTAGTCCGTCCACCTGCCTAGGAAGCTGCCTGCCAGTGGACAGCCTGCATGGATTGATGAAGATAAAAGGGGAAATCTAATACACCACAATTCACAGCAGCCTGCATGACAGTCTAATGCTATTCCACCGCAGGCTACTGTAGGTAACACACTGCTCTAAAAAGGTGCACTGCACATCATAGGATGGAGCAGCGAAGGAGTGAGCTGCAATCTGGATCCACAGCAGAGAGGATGGAGCAGGGGAACCAGACCAACAATTAGGATAACATGGTTCTTAAAGCGTAAATCTAAGCTATGGCATACGTGTCACCGCTAAGGTGTCCTAAGATTGTAAGGCATAGCCCTCACATTTGACATGCGCTTGACTGCCATAGAGAAGTCTCTGTCACCGCGACGGGTCTTTTGGGCTGTGAGGAAGTTATGTGCTGTATGGATAGTGGCAATCTATCAATGTTTTTCATTTTCTCTCATGGTAGATGTGTTGATTGTCTGTTCCTACAATGTCTAAGGCGTTGCCTTACCTCGCCAAAGTGCTGGGCATCTTGCCTTACCGCCTTAAAACTACTAAGGCTAGGGGATCTGGTGATGGTTGAGGAGGAATCTAGCTAGGCGATTGAGATTGAGAAAGAGAGGTGGTGATTTGTGGAGATTTTGAATCCGTGATACTGAGGCGGCAATGAAAAACTAAGTTTTCTCTATTGTTGAGTGTTGAGGGCACCCCAATTTCCTTCTGTCCCCTTTATAGTCTTTCGCACAATCCTCTGCTTAACAAATTTCACAGCTGTCGCCTGTGCTGGCATTCCTAGATTGCTCTTCTTGACGCTGGCTCCTCGTAGCTTTTGCTAGCTCTACCAGTTGCTGCCATTTGGCTACCCCGATGAGCTCAAAATCACTCCCTTTAGCTGCCTTCAGACTGGGTGGCATGGTGCTTTGGCTGCTGCCTTTTGTGAATTGTGGCATGATCTTGAATGTCATGGTTGAGACCCTGGCCTTTTATCAAGAAATGAATCGGCGGACAACCTCTCTTTCCTTTTTCTAATTGCATAGCTGAAAAAGCTTTGTGTCACCATCCCTTTATACGGTTGGCAAGACCACCTTCCTTAAAGATTATGAATATATAATTTCATCTGATGTGAACTTTAGGGTAATTGTTGTGCTGAGGGGCAGATGACAGTGTTGGAAGGGGATTAAGAATTGAAAGGTTTATCGACTATAGACTAGGATGAGAGAACTTTTGGATAGAAATACTAAAGGCATGTTTCTAGTCTAGCAAGCCTTCCACAGTACTACACTTGTGTCTCAAGTCTGGCAAGCCCCAGTCTTGTGGTTGCCGCTTGGCAAAAGTTGGCTAACAAATGAGACTGACAGGTGGGTTAAGAATCTAATAAAGGGTGGCAGATGACAACTGTGTCTGCAACCAAACAACTGCCAAACTGTCTGTCTAACGTTTTGTAATATTTGGCTACAAACGAAACATGCCCTGATTAGGGATGGCTTGATTGGGCCCCTCACACAAATCTTAGTGTTACCTTAAAGTACTCCCTCCGTTCACAAATACTCCAAAATTTGTATGGACTACATACAGATTGAAATGAGCGAACAAACACACGGAAACGTTTCTATATACATCCGATTCAGAAAAAAGTTAGAACATCTTATATTTGTGAACGGAGGTGATAGTTCATTTTAAATAAGGGGAGCATCATGCTATTAACTGGACTAATCACATTTTTGGTTTCCACAATAGCTAACTATGACCACTTCGTACCTATATTGTCAACTGAGATGATAACCTGTTCCTCAGAAGAAGTTTGGTTATCCCCTTAAATATGAAATAATCGGCGAACCTTGATATCAGTTGTTGCAAAAGATTACGCTGCCATAGCACGCTGTTGATTTCTTTGTATTTCCTTGGCTTTGTATGCTCGAGTTTAGTTATTCTGTCTGAATCACTTCTTTATCAATCTGAAGGCTGAGGCATCTCAAATTGAGGAAGACATGCAGAACATACAACGGGAGATTGATTATCTTGATTCAAATGTTACAAGGTCATTCTCATTAACTGTACTTCTTACTTTGCTTAACTATATCCAAGTAAATATCTTGGTTGTTTGACTCCACCTCGTGTGCCATTCAGGTTAAGAGAGGAAGAAAAAGAATTTTCTGAAGAGTTATCAGGCATCCAAAAGTCTATCAGTGACATAGCAAAAGAGGTACATTAAACTCAATGCCCCACTTAGTGCAGGGTGATGATATTAAACTCAATGTGCTGCCAGTAATACTGCTTTCCTGCATACTGAACTTTAAACACTGTAAACACAGTAAACATGATATGTTACTCGTCCACCCGAGTCACAAATAAGACACAGTTTGGACTAGAAACATTTGCCAAAGAAAGGTCCTAAACCATAATTTTGAATTGTATTTTTTTTGTATTATGGAAATATTTCTTGAGGAACATACTTCTACCATTTTCGTATGGCCTAAATCTCCATTAAGATATTGTTTGGTCAGTTTGGAGAATAATTACGAGCAAAAAATATATTACCTTTTGTATTTCATAGTTCCTTGGTGGCATCCATTCCCTATTGATGTATGGATGCGGGAATATGTTTTCTAGATAATGTAATTATGTAGTATAATGTTATTCTTAAAGAATGTGTATTCTGGATTATGTTATTCTTAGAGATTGTTTTTGCTGCTTCTCATATGTTTGGCTTCTTTCTGATTCCTAATACTTGATGTGGAAAAAAGAGCGGCAGAATGTGATTACGCATAGTAATAATTAGGCTTAATTTTACATTCTCCATGTACAAGTCAACTCTGATTAGATTCATTAAAAATTCCAAATATGTTTGCACATGACACGTAATGTATGAAGGAATACCATGTCCATGTGGAATGCGCCCCTTCTCTTCACCTTAGTTGACACTCTATTAACCCTGTTCTTTTATCACATTTTCTCCCTTTTGCTGAACTTAAAGAACTGCTGTCATAGCTCTACTTGTTTAAAAAAGTATTTGGAGTGAGGCTGAAAGTCCAGAGTTACGGGCAAAATACATCTGGGTCAAAGTTAGATTACCTGTTTCAGTACTGTGGGCTGATTTCAAGCTCGGAATGAGCTTTGGTTCAGCATTAAGTACCTCCGAAGAAGTGTTCCTTCGACATTTATCTGAAAAACATCACTTATAATTATCTGCACCATTTGAAGTTCACAAGTCCTCTATGCTTTCTTGTGTTGTTGGCCAACTTTGTCTGCATTGAAACATGTGGGTCTTATGCCATTAAATTTATTTCGCAGATAGCTGAAAGTGATAAAAGGATACTCCAATTGAAATCTCACATGGATGGTCTTCAACAGCGTCAAAGTAATACGGTATATTCTCTCTTTACAGTAGCCACTAAGCAGTGTATACTCCTTTTTATGATTATAACCCTGCTTCTCAGGATGTAATTGATTTTAGTAGCAACTCCTCTCTAACATGTTTGTTTTTATGCAATTAATGCTTTGTCTTAGGTAACGGCATTCGGGGGACAAAAAGTTCTGAAACTCCTGCAATTAATAGAATCAAACCACGGAAGATTTAGGAGCCCCCCTATTGGTCCGATAGGGGCTCATCTGGTATGAAAATGCTGATTTATCATGATTCTTGTCTTGAATTGGTTAATCTTGAGTCTAGAATATGTACTAATAATACCTTGTGAAGTACTACCTCCTTTCCGGTTTATAAGGCGTGTGTGTATCCCTAGATCTATAATTTGACCAACAAAACATGAGTTGTATAGTCTAAAAATTATACCATTAGAAAGTATACGATTTGAAGTTTCTAATGATGTATTTTTTTGTGATATATAACTTGTATTACGTTTGGTCTATTTGTCAACCTAAAGATACGCACAAGCCTTATAAACCGGAAAGGAGGTAGTAACTTCCTTATATTACTTATATCATTTAGCATTTGTTCTGATCTGCTGTATTCAGTAATACACTTCATCAACCTATCCCACAAAAAAAATTTCATCAACCCATATTGCTTATATTCTCATAGTCTTGTTTTGTTACCATCTCACATGTTCATAGCATGTCGTTTTGTCTATCTATTTGTTTATCCATGACTTTATAGATGGCAGCCTAACTATTGTTCCCAGCTACAGTTCTATGCTGTGTTCTGTTAGTGCAGCTGTATTGGTTCTTATGAAGTTCTAACCCATCCGAGTACTTTATTACTGTGACCGGTCATCCATATTGCTCTGTCCTCTATTCCTCCTAGCATCTCCAACTGCTGTAGAGCCTGTGTTGACTCTGGAAAGTACTAAAGTCTGGGAATGTCCTAGATTTTCATACATGCGCTTCAAATTAGAATATGGAAACTGAAAATTGCGTGCAAAGTTTTGGCCGTTTGTGCAGGTGCACCAAATTGGAGTAACTGTATACATATTTCTTCTCATTTCATCAAATAACATGAATGCAAAATATATTTGTTGTCTTATGTTATCCCGTAGAAATACAAATTTAAGCTTTACACGGTCTTGTCAGGGATTATGCCACTAAGCTGTTATAATTATGCTTTTGTAGTCCTTGTCGAAGTTTGGGTACTGCACTTACTTTATAGTGCAAAGGAATGGTATAAATTATAGCCAGTTCTTTCATATAGTATTGCCTTTTCTATCATGTAAGTTATGTCTGCGTTACTTCTTCCAAATCTTCATAATGCTTTTTGTCATGCAGCAACTTGCTAGTGAGTCCTGGTCTGTCGCAGTTGATTTCGCATGTGGAGGGCTTCTGGATGCATTTATTGTCTCGTGTCATAAGGATTTACAAGTTCTGCGAGAATGCGCGAATAGAGTGTATTACAATAACCTTCGAATTATTGTGTATGATTTCACTAGACAGCGGTAAGATTAAAGGCTGTCTGTTTCAACATTTTCTGTTTATTTTTTATGAACTCTAATTCTGTGACCTCCTATAGATTGATCATTCCAGATGGTTCACTTCCTACAACAGAGCACCCTACAGTACTATCAGTTATTCAGTCAGAGAACCACACTGTGCTGAATGTATTGGTAGATCAGGTACTGCATTATGTAATCTTCAAGCAACTATGTTGGTTTCGATAAAGTGGTCCAATTACTCCAAACAGCAAGGAGGCACAAAATTGGAGTATTATATAATGGAATTTGACTATGCTTACTCCTATTTAATGTCGTATTTTAAGTTTTAACTATTTGATATCTTTTGAAAAGTTGCAACAACTGAACTCATAATTCCCTGAATGGATAATTATTTTGAATCCAAATAAACTGGATATTTATTATGAAATAGTTTTTAATTATGAGATATCAATATGCATCACACTGTTTGTTCTCTTATTTTTGGATCCTTCTGTTCGAGATACTATTATTACAGCAGATATTTACTAAAGTTTCTTTGTGTCAGGGTCACGCTGAAAGGCAGGTCCTGGTTCGAGATTATGAAGTCGGAAAATCTGTTGCATTTGATCACAGGATGCGGAATATAAAGGAAGTCTATACCTCTGATGGGTTCAGAATGTAAGTCTTGGTGGTCGTACTCTGCTCGTATTAGGTTTGGTTTTATTCCAGCAATTAACTTGTTATATCTAGCAGTTTAGCTATAGTTTACCATAAGTAATCCTTTGCTAGAAGTAATTTTGGAATCCTATAGGTATTTCTATCACCATGTGCCCCCACATGTTTATGTAAATGCAAATTCCCACTTATAGATTTAGTTTTGATGATTTATCATCTTGCTATTTTGTGGAATTGACTAGTGGCTTGAGATCAATTTTCTGGAGTTTCTCAGTGCCAAGAGGCACCCCGGGGTAACTGCAGGGGAATGGTTTGATGACATACGGGACCACTTGGAGGGCACCCTAGTCCCTAAACCATAGTTACCTGATTCACAATGCGCTGATTTGTGATTCGTGGTCTCTGCTTTCTAAAAATAGAGTTATCTGGGGTATATACAGCTCCAATCCACAAACCTGTAATGGGGTTCCCAAAGGGGTAAATTATAGTCCTGTAATAATCAATATAGGAATTAGTGGCTGGCAAGGCAAGCAAATTGACCACAGAAGATTGTAGCTTAATAACACAAAGGACAAGAAAAATGCAGAAAGATAGAAGTTGAAGGGCTGGCATCCAGCTTACGGTTGTAGCTTAAGAAAAGAAAAGGAAATGAAGAAACTGAGAAGTTTGATGGCTGGGCACCCCCCTTAGGACCTCATCCTTTCTCTTTTTTTTTACCATGTCCTCTCTGGCAACCCAACTAAACCTCTCAGGACTCGGTCTGTTCCCCCTGCAATGTCATCGACGGCTACCCAGCAGCAAGGTCGACCAAGTGGGTTTCAGCTCAACGGGGGCGACACATGCATGTTTTGACAGCTGCAATGCAGGCCTGGTCGAGCAGCGTCAGCAAGGGCATAGTCAAGCAGTGGCAGCAACAGTGTCAATTGAATTCTGCTGTCTCGTTTGGATTTTTGCGTCACTTCTCTATGAATCGCGAGTGAATCGTTTGCGATCTGGAAACCCGATCATCATTGCTCTGTCGGGATCAGGGTCCGACGCCTCTTCCAGTGAATCTGGTAACAGCGAACTGGACATCCTGTTCGGAGCACCTGAGCATTGTAGTCGTTTGGCAAACTGGCTGTCTGGGTCGTCGGCTGTGTAGTACAATGACCGGGCAGCCAGTTTGCCAATGATTGGGCATAATGCTAAACCCCTAGGATGCTGATATTCTGTTTATGTACCGGTTTAATTATAATAGCCTCATTTTTGCTGATTTAGATAAATTTCACTGACTTTTAAGCTATTGTATGTAAGCTTATTGGACATACTTTTTTAGCCAATTTAATGGAATGATTTCATGTGCTAACAAAATGTAATATTCTTTTTCAAATATATAAAGCCAGATTTTCAAGATGTTGTATTCAATCATATGTTTTTAATTGTTCATGCATATGTGAAGTATTTTAAGTTCCTTTTTGTGTTATTCATTTATTTTGATGTTTCAAAGTGTTATACCCGGACCTTGTGTACCAAGTGAATAAAATCTGCCACCAAATTGCTACACATATATGTAATTACCTAAAAAATGCATAGCATGGCAGCAAGAACATTGTTACATGGACAAGAACCAGTATGCATTATTTTGGCCTCAACTATTTATCTAGATTACAAGCAATTCACACTCAGCCAAACCTGAAATCCATTCCTACTGTAATTTCATCAACTATCATCCATTCATCAGGAGTAGGAAACCAAAGAAAAATTAAAGAAGAGATCCAAAGCCCAGGATCCGGTGTGGACTCGGGGTTCGCTGGATGGCATGTTGTGAGGTAGATCCAGCGTGTGCTGGAGGTTGCTGGATGGGCAGGCTAGAGGTCCTGCTTGCGCCGAAGCGGGGCTGCAGGGCCAGCTGCCAGCAGGGGTCGCCGTCTTTGGAGAAAAGGGGCGGGGAGGAGCAGCAGTGCTCCCTTACCGTGTCTGTGTTTCAGCTCCCACAGCAGTTTTACAGTTTACTGATGCATTTTCTATTCATGAACTTCTTTTGGGAAATAAAGTATCATGCAAATTGCTAGATAACTTGTGGAAATGAGCATGCTAGGTGATATCTGATTGCTGTATGTTCATTCGTTGATTTTTTTGTGCCATTGAATTTTTCTTTCAGGTTTTCTAGAGGTTCTGTTCAGACTATTCTTCCTCCAAACAAAAGGCCAAGACCTGAGCGTTGGTGCAGTTCACCTGCAGAAAAAATAGCTGAACTGAAGAATGAAGTTGACGGTATTCAAAGAATAATCTCGGAAAAGAATGCTCAGAGAAGGAAGTTGGTTAATGACCGAAGTAACCTTGAACAGAAAATAGCAAATTTGAAGGTAAAATTCTTATTGGTGTGTAATCCATTTTAATTATCTATTAACTTCCCATGTTGGTCTGTAGAGAAAACGAGAACCTGAGGAGCGCCATTTAATGAATAAAAAAGTGCAACTTGAAGACGGAAGGAGAGCTACTGCTGAAAATAATAGGCATGCTGCTGTGGACACCACTGAACTAGAGGAGGACATAAAGGTCCGCTCCCGATTTCCTTTCTCGAGGAACCATCTATCTCATTTCACTGCACTAGGTACTAATCTTTGTTATCTAAGCAAGAACTGTATCAATTTTCTCATGGTACTTATTTCTGCAGGAAGAGAAGAATAACATTGAGCAGAAAGAACTATCACTGCAGAAGACTAATGTGAAGTTAACAGCAGCTTTACGAGAAGTGAATGATAGAAGAACGGCATTCAAGACCTTTATGGGTATGAAAAATCCACAATCTCAGCATTGATGATGTTACCATCTCTTGCTGGCATGTATGCAAGTTGTTCAGCATTTGATTTTTCCCATTTCGATCTTGAGATGGCTAACCATGCTTGCCACATGGTAGCGTTTTACTTTAGAATTATGCTTATTTTAGACTTGCGTATATGATGGACGCAAAACTGTGGCGTTAGCTTCTTTGAAGTAGGCATACAACAAATTTGACTGTTCAATTTGTTAGGCAATACTTAGCAACAAGTCTGTGTAAAAGGATTCAATATAGCATAGTGATAAAGCTAGCATGTGACCAATTTGTTAGGCTATATCTGTCCTCTGATGAAGCGAATGATACACTCCTTAATTTTCTCGTGCTCTGGTGTGGGCCTTCATGAAGAAATTTGCTAACTGTAGTTCGAAAGGCACATACTGTAGAGCAATCACCTGGTCCTGCACACAGGACCTCATGAAGGAAGCATCAACACCAATATGCTTGGTGAGCTCATGCTTCAATTCTGATAGCACATATACTCAGAAAAAAGGTGAGTTGCTGTATTGACAGAAACACCAAAATCCTCAAGTAACCACCGCGGCGAAGTCACATATGCTGTCAAAAGAGCCACAGCTTGCAACTCAGTGTCTGCACTCTGAACCGGAAACTGCAGCTTTGTTTCTTTTCTCCCAGGCGATGAGAACCATCACAGACATTTGCAGTTTGACCTTCTCACACAACTCACCCAGCCACTCTTAAGAAAGCATTTATAGACATTAAACTGATTACAGACCAGTGTTGAAAGCCATAGCAAGAAGGGTGTGGTCATGTGGGCCACAAGAACAAACAAATGCCTCATCGTGGTCACGACCATGCTCCTGCTTAAAGCCAGATGCAACAAGACAAGCCTTTTAAAGAGAACAATACCCATGCCTCCTGTGCTCCCAAGATCCTGAGACGATGAACCACCTGCTCGTCCGCTGCCCATTTTCCCGGCAGGTTTGGCATGAAATCATCGTCTGGCATCGCATGCCGTGCGCATTGCCAAGCCATCAATCTTCCCTGCTGGAATGGTGGCACGCGGCCAAGCGGAGCATACCAACGGCCATGCGCAAGGGCCTCGCCTCCATGGCCCTTCTAACCCATGTATGATCTGGAAACATCGCAACGATTGCGTCTTCAACGGTGCTCAGTCATGCGTGAATGACCTAGTTGCGAAGATCAAGGAGGAGTCGGCGCTCTGGGCCAAGGCAGGAACTGCCGGCCTACGGGACACCATGGCCCAAACATGGGATGTGCACTGATTTCCTGTAACCACCTTGACCATTGTACCTCCTAGGAGGCTTGTAACATAAACCCTCTCTTTTTAATACAAAAAAACGCAAGTCTCTTTGCGTTTTCTCGAGAAAAAAAAGTTTATAAACCAATGGAGGGCGCATGTCTGAGATAAAGTTCATGGGATGAACACTGTAAGAAAAATCAACGAACGAGGGAGAGAAGGAAAAAAAAGGTTGGCCGGTGACATTGTACCTGTTTTTATGAAAGGATAGCGAAGCAGAATGAAATAGACGAGCTCCTTTGTGCATGTTCTTGATGGGGAGCCTGAACAGAGTGGCAATCGGCAGATGTCAGAGGTGGGTGGAAGCTATGTAGTGGCACAAGCTGGCGATTGAAAGCGGTGTCAGTCAACCGAAGCAACTGCTGCTTGCGACGGTGAAGGTCTAGCAGACGCGTGTGCCGCGGGGCCGGAAGACAGAGGGGTGGGCAGCAGCGGCTTGACTTAAATCAGCCTGGATCGGGTAGTCGATGGAGCTGCTGAGTAGAGACGACGGTGGGAGGAACTGATGGTCGGGTGTGGTGTCTTGTGATTGCATTTTAGGACAGATTGGGGCACTGCCGCTGCAAGGATGGCTGGTGGCAGATGTGATCTCATCAAGGAATTGATCTGGGGGGATGGGAAGCAGAAAATCGCATGCAGTGTGTGGAGATAAAAATCAATCGAAAGTGGAAATCGAGATTGAGACAAATTCGATCAGTTAAGGACGAGTTGTAGAGTCCAAAAAAAACTAAACCCCTAAATCTACTCTCTCTGTTCCTAAATATATGATGTTTTGGTAGTTTAAATTGAACTACCAAAACGTTATATATTTAGGAAGGGGGGAGTAGTACTTCTATAACATGCGAGGAAATATGCATTTTGTATTTCTTTGAGGTCATGGGCCAATACATATACACCTACAGGCCTGACAAAACATGCAGAAACCCCATATACAACAGGCATATTACATGTCTATTATATACAACTTTCAACAGTTTCCAGCTCTTTCCAGTTGGAACTTGTTTCTCAACCTTTTCCTGTTGAAACTTTGCCTTTTCTTTTATTTACAATATAGTATTTGGAAATAATTGGCGTTTTCCCTCCATCAAGCACTAGTTTATGCTGAAACTTACGGATATCCGCTGCCAGACTTCTGCCCATGTGTGAATCAGGTGGTAATCTTGGCGCGCTTGTAATCTTTTCTGGTGTTCTTTTAATCCATGTGTGTGTGCTGTGGATATTCTGTGGGAGTGTCAAGACCTTTCTGGGTCTGTTTTGTTTAGTGTTTTTCTCTTCTTAATATAATGATGGGCAGCTCCCCTGCTGGTTGCATAAAAAGGAAACTTAAGGATAAACCTATCCATACTTTGATCTGTTTGATTGTTTGTTTGACCTATACATTACCTGATACTACTTGAATACCAAAATTAAATTCCCTTTACCTTCTGCATTAGATGCATACTTTAGAAAAAAAATACGATGCCATAGCTATAGAGAATGAAAAACTAGATTTTTTTTGCTCACTAAATCTCTGTTTTAGGTTCCTCTCGTCCTATACTTGTAGCCTAGATTTCCTTTTACAGAATGTTCTTCAATGCCTGAAACTGAAAAAGTATATTTCTGCTGTCTATGGCTGCCTTCTTAGCTGTAACTACTATTCTCTGCAGATTCTAACAACTTTTTCTGGTTTCAGATTCTGTGAATGAGGAGAGATTACATTTTAGCAGCGCAAATGATGAACTAGATCTTGTTAAGCGTAAAATAGATGCAGCTCAGCAGGTGCTTCTCCTTATCTCAAATCCATTAGTGCTATTCAGTTTGCTCTAGGTTTGTGTTTCTATGGTGTTTTGATGCTTCGAGTGTAGGTGAGATGTACTGAAAGAGCATTTCTTTGGTCCATCTGCTTCATGAAAGCATCAATGAGCCACATATTTTCCCTTTTCCTTTCTTATCCCATGTAAATTTTTGCATTGTCAATGACCCCCTTTTGCTGAAATTGGAGCTGTCATTCGTTTGTTCTACAGGCACTATGGCTCATATGGTCTTGTGCCCCTCCTCACCTTAGTATCACATTTGATATTTCCATTATGGATTTTATTTAACTTTGGTTCGAATGTGAGAATATTTATTATACTGTAGAAGTGGATAAGCATCACATTATTGTTTCGTTAGAATATGGCGCTTGCTCTTCACCTACACAACTTATTCAGTTTCTATGGATTTTTTTTTGTTAAAATTTGCCTCTACTGGACACGGTTTATCACCATAAACAGCTTGGTCAACCAAGCGGTGTCTATTCCTATTGGGAAGAAGTTAGAAAATTGTGATCGCTCAATTGTCTGTAGCTTGTATTACTGATGGTAGTTTCTTTCAATGAGTATGTGAACCAGGAGAAGACTCACTATGAAGGTGTCATGACAACTAAAGTTTTACCTGATATTAAAACGGCTGAAGCAGAGTATGCAGATCTTCAGCAGCGTCAGCAGGTTTTTGTTCTTTACTGGCACTAATGGCCTATTTTCATTTTGTTGAATTATGATTGTTTCTGTATGGTTCTTCTCTAAAAGTAAGTGTGTTCTGTTATAGCTACAGACAGTGTGCGCCTGAAAGTTCACATCGCCAAAAGAATTATAAAACTTGATAAGAGAACGGTTTCTTAGTAAGTGTCAAACATTCTGATGGAATTAACCCTGTTGCAAGAGGAAGTAAAAGTGATGATGCTCAATTTTATTAATTGGCAGGATGAACTACGAAGTAGTAAGATTAGCATGAATGTTCAAATAATTTGTTTTTATCTGTTGGATGGACTGATGGTGTTTCAGTATGGTCAAGAACCACCAATCTCATGTTGTTTTCGTATACTCTTAGAAAAGGTCATACCTTGAATAGTGGCCGAACTTAAATTAGCAACTTCATCTTATAATTTGTGTACTGCATACTGTCAACTTGGTACATCCAGCGTGCATGTTTTGTTAATTTCTATGAAGCATTTTTAACACCTGGATATATCAAATCTTCTGTGCTTATATTCTGCAGGAGTACTTCAAGAAGGCTTCGATTATTTGCTCTGAGAGTGACATGGAAGCTCTGAGTCATGTTGCTGGATCCACCCCTGAACAATTAAGTGCTAAGATAAATAGACTGAAACAGAGATTTGATCAAGAAAGCAGAAGGTTTGGAACCACCAACTTAGTCGTAGTGGCAGAAAAAAGCTGATGCCCATGAATTTTTATCCTTTTTTCATTAATAACAGTAATAATATGCGAGCAGATATGCTGAGTCCATAGATGATCTGAGGGCATTGCATGACAAAAAGGAACGGAAAATCTTAAGAAAGCAACAGCTGTATGCAGGTTTTAGGGTGAAATTAAATGTAAGTTCGTTCAGTACTTCATGTTTTCTGGTGACATCTTTGACTTTCTCAAACTGGTGCTTTAGTTGGAAAAAGAATATTTGATTGAATTAGTTATTACTGTTTAATCTTGGTTGTAGAAATGCATAGAACATTTGGGGCACATGCAATGTTTGATCAACCCAGATACATGCCGCTTCCAGTTCACAACTGTCATTTGTGAAATGCTTTTCGAGTCAACTCTACGCATATGATTTCTGTGTATCCAATCTAATTACGTAAAAACGATATTGGTTTTCAAAGTTTTGAATGTTTCACTAGACCTATACCCAAAACAGCAGTTGGGTCTGTTCTTGACCCAAGTTTATTGCCGTGCAGTCATGTCAAAAAGCATTGGACTTGCGATGGAAGAAGTTCCAGAGGAATGCTGGCCTTTTGAAGCGACAATTGACATGGCTGTAAATACAAGTTTCTTGGATGTTTATCATCTATTTTTCTGCAGGTTTTGATTTCTCTTATCCGTCAGTTGAAATGGTTAGTCCTGATTAGTCGGCCACTTTTATTGTTTTGATTGAAGGTTCAATGAGCACCTGGGAAAGAAAGGTATCAGTGGGTTCATCAACGTAGATTACAAGAGTAAAGTTTTGTCTGTTGAGGTGTGTACCTTCGTAACATTGCCCCTTCGATGTGCACCTAGTGGCTGGAGAAGTTGTGCTTCATCACCAGCCCACCCGCATATTTTTGTAGTGATTTATGTAATATTTTTAATTGATGTTTGATGTAGCTGACGATGCCTCAAGATGCATCCCGTGATACTGTCAGAGACACTAGAGGACTGTCAGGTACCTTTATGTTTGCCATGGTTGTCTTGTATCTTGTGAGATAGTGTTTAATTTTGTTGTTGTTGGTATTTCCTAGCTATGCTTTTGATAACTACAACTTTTGATATGCATCTTGATCCAGGAGGGGAGCGATCTTTTTCAACACTTTGCTTCACTTTAGCTCTTCATGGAATGACAGAAGCACCTTTTAGGGCCATGGATGAGTTTGACGTTTTCATGGTGAGCAATCCGATGGTTTTCTACAATCACCCTGTATATCACAAACCAAACCTTATTGGCGGTATCTGATTTGTGCAGGATGCGGTGAGCCGCAAAATAAGCTTGGACACCCTCGTAGATTTTGCTGTTGCACAAGGGTCACAATGGGTATTTATAACACCGCACGATATCAGGTCTGAAAATTGCCTGTGGTTGCTCTTGTTCCAGTTTCTTGCAAATTGATATTTATGACATCTATGTTTCCTCAGCATGGTGAAGCCTGGAGATCGGGTCAAGAAGCAGCAAATGGCCGCCCCTCGCGGTTGACTCAGGGCTTAGCTGTACGTCGTTGCGCTCAGCACTGTATATATCTCCTAGCCTCAGGGTCCACTTCTGACAGAACCTCTTGGGAACTGCTCATTTCCTATCTAAGTTTTGTTCATGGCTTGTTTCGAAGTGTACCGGCACTTGTTTTGTTATTTAGGACTATCGGGGACCGACGTCTTTGGCATGAAATGACCTCTTTGTGGTGGCATATACGTATCTGTCAGCTAAAACATTTTGCATTGCATGATACTAAGTGAAGCCAAGTGAAAAGAATCCGTCCAGTCATGGTGCGCCTGGCACTGATGCCAAGTTAAGCAGTTGATTTGATGACTGCTGAGGGCTTCTATGGACCCTTCAGCTCTCAAAAAGGTGTTAACATCCATAAATCATACTCCTATTTTTATGTACTTAGCATATTAGCTTTGTTTTGGGTTCAACTTTGACCAAGTTTATACATAAAAAAAATTAACAATCACAATATCAAATCAATACCATTAGAATCATATTTTAATATATTTTCAGACCATGTATATCTTTTATTGTGAAATTTTGGATTGTTTTTGATTAACCTTGTCAAGCTTTACAAAGTTTGACTTGGTTCAAAGCTAATATGTGTAGTAAATAGAAATGGAATGAGTACCTCCCCATAAATATCCATGAAAGCAAATCATGACATCTACTTGGTACCTTTTTGATGTAAGATCGTCATGATAGATTTTTGCCCCTATGACGATGCAGGAGAGTGCCATTGAACGTTGTTCACAAATTAATCCCTGCTCCCCCGCCCCGATAGCTGCTCTGGCTGCTCCCTCGTGCCGATAGCTGCTCTGGCTCTGGCGGCCATATCTCCTGGCTGGCAGCCACTCCGGCTTCGGCGGCCACCTCTCCTAGCCGGCATGGCGAGCCGCGTGCAGCGCTCCTCCTCGTCCGGTGGCTTGAGCCCCTCCTCTGTTCTTGGCTTGGCCTGCTCCCCTCGTCGGATCTGGTGAACCCCCCTTGCTGGCTGCGCTCTCTTGTCGTCGTCTTAATGGTGTCGCAGGCGATCCATGGGCAGACCTTGGAGGGGGCCCCATGGCAACAGGTTTGGGGACGGAAGGAGTGTCGATCGCCTGGCCTTTGTCCCATGTTGACGGGCTTGCTCTCCTCTCGCCCGCCGCGCTCAGCCATCCTTGCGTCGCTCCATGGCTGCTGTTACAACTGCGGTGAGGATGATGGGCACATCTCATGCCATTGCATCAATCCGATAAAGTGCGTTCGGTGCGACGACCGCAACCACACCTCCCGTGGCTGCACCCGCTTGAGGAGTCCCTTTGACTCTTCGTTGGCTCGGCCCGCACCCCCCCTTCGCCTGCATGCGCCGGCTTCGCCCATGGCACCCCTTCTGCCGCCCCCTCTAGGTCCGCCGCCACCGGGCGCGGTCCGGTTGGCCCCTTCGCCCACGCTCCCGCCACTGCCGCCAGGCCTTCCTCCCGTCGTCGTGACGTGCCTCGTCCGGGCATGGTCGGATGTGGTTCGTGCTGGGTCGATGGGCAGTGTGGACAGCGTGGCCGGGCCACAGTTCTCCGCTCCGTTCGGGGGCGCGGTCGCGCCGTCACCAAGGCAGGAGGAACCGATAGATTGTTGCTTCTTGGAGGCGGGTGAGGACATCTGCGCTATGGAGGCCGAGCTGCTGCGGGCGGTCGTTGTCTCCATGTGTCAGGACCCCGACTCGATGTCACATCGATCTAGCCGGTAACACTCCATATCACTTTGCGGCCTCACGCACGGTATTCCCACGGGTGTCGCCTTACCTTTGCCCGGGACCGTTTGCGCCTTTTGGCTCACGTATATGATAGTGTCGCTAGCATCCATATGATAAAGAGCCCGGGCTGACATGACTAGTCGTAAACCCAAAGTGGCACAGACTTACAGGGACAGGCATCCATGACCCAGCTTCGAACGTGTCGGTCATCAGCAATTGGGTCCGGGCTGTAGCACTGGGCTAGCAGGACTCCGGTAAACCGGGCTGTAGCGGGCTAACAGGACTCCGGTACTCAAAGCGTGACATTTCCCCGAAGGGACAGACACAGGAACGAAGAAGGACACATGCCGGCCAGCCTAAGTGTTCCAGAGCAGTAGCAAGCTACCATGGCTCAGCGGTAACACTAGGAGACATTTCCCGGTAAGAGAGGCTACTAAAGATAAACAACTAGATAGTCAGATCCCACACATACCAAGCATTTCAATCATACACACAATATGCTCGATATGTGCAAATACAACGAAGCATCACATCATGACTCTACGACACAAGTACTTTATTTAAGGCTCAGGGAGCCATACATGTCATACACACAAAGGTACGGGTCTCACGACCCAACATACAAGTCATACAGTCATACAAGCCAACAGCGGAAGTACTTTGTCTGGGTACAGACAACTAGCAAAATAAAAGAGGCTTGGAAGCCTAACTATACTACGTGGTCCATCACAAGCTCAGGGTCACCACCTGGGTCCTTAGCCTACTCGTTGATGTCAACGTCTACATAGAACCCATCAGAAGGGGTTGCAGCGTCTTCTGTAAAAATGTAGATTATAGCAACATGAGTACAAAGGTACACAGCAAGACTTACATCAGAACCTACATACATGCATAGTATCAAGAAGGGTTGGTGGAGTTATTGCAGCAAGCCAGCTTTGACCCTTGGCTAGGCTATCCTACGATACTCCAACTTGAAATAGTTTTGCGCACACGAGTCCACTATTCACCACTTCAATACACTACCGAGGATCCACCTCCGTCTTCCTACGGAAGAGCCATCCTCGGCACTCACACTTATCTTGAGGCTTTTAATAGTTTCCATTTACTTGTCTATGAACTATATAGGCAACCAAGTAGTCCTTTACCGCGGACGCGGCTATTCGAATAGATCATGTTAACCCTGCAGGGGTGTACTTCTCCATACATGTTTCCACCACTTAGCGTCTGCACACGACATGTGCTCGGCAGACTTCAAGCAAAAGCCGACGTGGGTGTAGACCACGACCTACCTAAACACTTAAGCCTCTAGTCCAGGTTTATCGCCTATTCAGGTTCCATCCGCAGGGAGTCCGGCCGAGGTTTCCCATACGGCCCCGAACGATGTGAACAGGGTTCCCGAGATACCTAACGGGTATTCGGTACACCCGACCACGTACCTACCGCATCACAGCCCACCCCTACGGTCAGCGCTGTCCACGGCCTCCAGTAGGCTACAAACACCAGAAACTACTTGCAACTCCTGGACAGAGAGCTAAGGTGAATAAGAAGTCGAGCGGGGTCATATTTCAGGGCCCAATGTATGGTAGTAGCTGATTCTTAAATCACACATACAGATCTCAGTGCTTAAGGTCGGCTTCAATGAAACAACCCACCATGTACTCCTACATGGCCTCTCATCGATACCTTTACCAAATCGTGTTCACCACACCACTCTCATTACCGACATTAACATTTCACTCTAGCCCATCACCCAGATGAACCAGACCTGACACGACTCTAAGCATAGCAGGCATAGCAAGGTAGGAACAACACATACATATGGCTCAAACAACTCCTACACATGCTAGTGGGTTTCATCTAGTTACTGTGGCAATGACAGGTCATGCAGAGGAAATGGGTTCAACTACCGTAGCACACAGCAGTTTGAATCGCGTTGTCTTAATGCAGTAAAAGAGAGCAGGAGCGAGAACATGGGATTGTATCGATATGATCAAATGGTTGGTTGCTTGCCTGATGGTTCGTTGCACGGATACGGTTCTTCGCTAGGGTAATCAGGGTACTCTTCGGGGACGGAACCTGCCGCAGAGAGCACCGATACACAACATTACCAAACAATATGCAACAATATGATGCATGCATGAAACATGGCAATATGAGTGTGTTGGGCTAATGCAACTAAAACCAGAAGGGTTTGAGCAAATTTGAATCAAAGATTCAAATTTCAAATTCAAATATGGCCTTTTAAAGTGCTTTTCCTTGTTCTGATTAAAACATCAATTTAACTTGTTTGATCATGCATGAAAATAGTACAGATGGATAGATTGGATTTTTCTGATCATTTTTCATATATAATTTGTCCAATTTGGAGTTACAGAATAAAAGTTATGAATTTTTGAAGTTTAATTAATATTCTGGAATTTCCTGATTTAATTTAAATCCAGAAATATCATTTACTGCGTCAGCCTGACGTCACAGTGACATCAGCAGGTCAACAGGGCTGGCTCGGGTCAAACCTGACGTGTGGGGTCCACACGTCAGTGACACAGGGGCTAATCCCGTGTTGACCCGGGCTGGTTAGCTTTGACTAAGCCCTGGGGCCCACTTGTCAGCGTCAGTAGGTGGTGGGTTAGTGGCTAATTAACTAGGCCACGTCAGCTCGCTGGAGTTCTGGCCGGCGGCGACCATCAGTGCGGCGACGATAGTGGTTTTGGACGTTTCGGCCACCAAATGGACCGCGGAGGCCACCGGAGTGAAGCTGAGGACGACCCGCGGCTCTTGGCGGAGTCCGTTGGGGTCGGGGTGGCCGGAGTCGACGGCGGCGAGCTCGGTTGCGGTCGCCGGGGTTCGGTCGTGCACGGGAAGGGTGTTGCAGGGGGTTTGGGGTAGCGTTGGTGCGTGCTACGTGCTCCTAGTGAGATGTGGAGCACGATGGTGAGCTCGGTTGGGCGCTACGGCGACCGTGGCCACGACGGCGACATCGCCGGCGGCGTGAAGCTTTCGGCCGCGGTGGGGCTAGGGCCTAGGGGTCGGGAGAGAGCAGGGAAGAAGGGGGAAACGGTGGCGTAGCTCACCGCGGTTGCAGTGGGCGTCGAAACGAGCTCGGGGACGCGCTGGAGACGGCGAATTCGTCGGCGACGGTGATCGGAGCCCGAAGAGGGGAACGGCGACGTGGCGGCGATGCAGGGCTTCCGGGGACTCGTGGAGCGGTGGGGAGGAAGAGGGAGTCGAGGCGGAGCTCCTGAGCTAATCGGGGGAGCGA